AGAGGTCTTGGTTCAGCATGTGCCCTCATATGATCAAGTAAGTGACATTTTTACAAAGGCTCTATCAAAGCAATTTTTCACAAGGTTAAGAGACAAGTTGGGAGTGATATCTCATCCCTTGTTCAAATTGAGAGGGGGTAAAAATCAAGAAAGTCAACACTGTAGTCATGAGAGCCTTGCCATGTCAACACCTTGTTCTACATCATCCATGCATACGTGTAATGGGGCCATACAACATAGAGGAACAAGGGTTGGGAATGCTTGAAGTAGTACAAGAATTATGAGCTGTCAAAAAGGAAAATGTTACCTTATCTCCTTAGGGTTTGTTTTGTGTGGTTCACAATAGCTTAGAGCATGTGATATAAATATCACCTCTGCACCATTTTGTAATCATCAAAAATTGAGAAAAATAGCTGCTGCTTTTATGATAAAGAATTAATGGAGATCAAAGCTTATAGCTCAATGTTTACATGTTTCATGTTGCATCTGATTTTCCATTACCAGCGGAGTACACCAGCACCAACCTGACTTCAAGGAGTTCCAGGGAGTGCAAGGAGTCTATATAAGCCATTAGTTTCAGCCGTGAGCAACCGTAGCTAAGCCATCACCGAGTGACCCCGAAATAGTGCCAAGAGAGGGCCTTTGTGCAAGTTTTCGAGTTCGGTGAAGGTAAACAAACTCTAATCTATTTTTCTAGTTATAACATGATATTTTAAGAATTATCATGTAGAGAAATCAAGCTATGCATGCAGAATAGAAATTATGAATTTTTAAAGTTTAAGTCCTTAGATTTGGATTTTTAGTTCCAAGCATGTTTAGACTAAGTTTAGTAGCTTAAAAATCTTTATAAATCATGAATATGATGTTGGTAAAGTTTGAGCATGTTTGGAGTTCATTTACTCGGTCAAGTAGGAACTAATTTTTAGCTTATTTGAGCCCTCGAGTCATTTTTGGTTGCATGCGAGCAAAAAGAAATATCTTAGCCTTAAAAGTCATGATTTATGTTGTTAAAAATCTGCCTTGAGTAGTTTTTGAAAAAGAACAAGTGTTTCCGGTGACTTGGTATGCATGCAGCCATATAGGCCCTGCCGAGTCATTTTAAAATCTAACCGGATAACGCCAAGCTTTCTATTCATTTTTTGAGTTTATTGAGTTGTATTATGTTGAGTTGTATGGTAGATGTCGGAAAACGTCGCCAGACGGCCGGCAAGGTGCCGGTCATGTGCACTGCCCGCAGGTAGGTGCACAGCGCGCCCGGGAGCGAGTTCACAGAGGTTAATTTTGCCTCTAGTGACTCGTTACAGAGATTAAGTTTGCCTGAGTGTGCGCGCGTCCACTGGGTGCGACGCACGCGACCTTAACGTGTGCCGACAGCGTTCGGTAGCACGTAGACAGTGTCCACACATGTAGTACGGGTGTCAGTAGCACCCAACGAGTGCAGGTAGCGCCCGACAGCGCTTAGCCAGCCTCAGCGCGCGCAGTGTCGAGCCCAACGGCTCGGGCCTTTCAGAGGTTAACTTTGTTGTGTTTAGAGCATAATTTATTTCTCTTCAGAGGTTAACTGGTCGTGCTAGCCGCATGCCAGCGCACCCAGTCATCACTGGTCGTGCCCAGTAGCACGCCAGCGTACCAGTAGCCACCGGTCGTGCCCAGCAGCAAGCCAGCGTGCCCAGTAGCCACTGTACGTGCCCAGCAGCACGCCAAGTGTGCTCAATCACTATCGGTCGTGCCTAGAAGCGCACGATAGCCATCAACCGTGCTAGTACTCGCGACAGTCGCGTCTAGCAACGCCCGACCGCACCCAGAAGTGCCCAGCACTACGCCATGGCACCAGCAGGCCCTGTCTCGGACCGAGCCTAGCCAGCTCGAGCCAGTAGCCGATCGACCGACCCACAGGGAGCCGGCAGTCCGACCAGCCATCGAGCCGGTCGGTTTGATCGGTGGTTCGAGTAGTTTTCAGTTTTTAAGTTTCGGTCCGAGTTTTGTTCCAAAATTTAAATATTTTTCTGAGGCGAGTCAGTCTAGTTTAGCCATATCAGTTATTTTTGGACTTAGTATAAACAATGTCGAACCCTTAGAGCGTTCCATGTAGTTCGGATAAGTTAGTAGTTAGAACCGAGCATCATAGCATCTGTTTGAATATATATCTGAGCATAATACTTAGTATTTGCTTATTTATATATTTTTCCAGTTTGAGCGGACAACCGTTCCAGTCATCACTTACATTTCAGTTCGAGCAGTACAGGTGGACCCAGCCTAGGTATTACATTGACTATAATACAGTTACAATGTCTGAGGTATGTATATGTGTGTATATATATATATATATATATATATATATTATCCTCTTAGGGTGGAGGCCAGATTCCTTAATATGCCACCTAAGTTCTGGTGGAGGCCAGATGCCTTAATATGCCATCAGACTATGCACATGGTTACCGGACACAGTGTCCTGGAGTTAATATGATTTCAGTTTCAGTTCAGTTTTGTATATATGTCGAAGATCATGATATAGTTATTATTATTGATGTTTACTTTAGTCTGTGTTTATGCAGAGCGCAGTGGTATTTCGTGCTCACGCCCCACTACTTTTTCTTTTTCAGATGACAGGGTCAGGCCGGAGGTGTGAGCTCAACATGGTGGTTCTAGTCGTGGAGTCGGCTAGTTGCCATTTTGCGGGTTTTGATATATACCAGTTTGTATATATATTTGTCATGCATTTACTTTCGCTGACGTTTTAGCTTTCGATCTTGCATGCCAGTATTTTCTGTTTATCAGTTTTACCTGGTCTGCTAGTGTGATCTGGGTCCAGTATTGCAGCTAGTGTGATCTGGGTCCAGTATTGCATACTTGTTTGATATTCTGTTTTTCTTTATGTCTAACCAGATGTTAGACTCAGTTTAAATTAAACGAATTTTCAGATAAGTTTTCATAGTAGCATCCTAAGTTATGATTTCTTAAATTTATAAGTATTTTTAGAAAAGAATTTGCGAAAATTTTACTCTGATACTAGTAAGAAAGCGGGGTGTTATAGTTGGTATCAGAGCACGCTTTTGCTCGATGACTGACCAAAATTATATCCATAAAATTAATTTTTTTCTATAATAACTCTAATTTCATGAACTACAAACTTATAATAATTAACTTATAATTTTTTGTTATCTTTTATCTCTTGTGAAACACAAATTTGATGGTAATTTTTTTTTTTTTTTGAATTTTAATGTTTTGTTGTCAATATTTATTTATTTAATTCAAGTTTTTAAAACATATATAATAATTTTATTAATAAAAAAATTAAGGATACATGATATATTTTAATGACTACCAAATGCTATAATTTCAATTATTACTTGACCATATAATTTTATTTACTTGTTTTTCTTAATAAAATAGTATATAATAAAAATTTTACTTTTTAACACCTTGAATAGTGTTTTTTTTGCATATAAATATTACAATATAAAATTTATAATTCTTAATTTTACCGACCATCAAATATAATTTATTAATATATAATTTAGTTTTTAAAGGGTATCAACAATACAAAAGATATATTTAAGAGAGTTTAATTTATTCACGGTTAAGTTGAATAAATGAACGAACACGAAGGCAATTTTGCGTTCGATTAGTAAACAAACAAACACGAACATGTTCAAAAATTTGTCGAACTCGAGCTCGAAAGCTTTAAGCTGGATTTGGTTCAATTCCATAACAGCCCTAAATGTGGCTATTTAGTGTAGTATCACATACAAAATATTCAAGGTGAAAGAGAAAATAAAAGCAAAAGAAACTTTCCGGCTGTTTGCTAGTGCATAGAAATATTCAAGGTCAAAGAGAAATAAGTAAAAGCAAACAAAGTCCAGCAGCATCAGCTCCGGCCCTATGCTAGTGTATGAGAAATGCTCACCTACCCACGGTAGGCACATGTTAATATGCCCACCGCGTAGGTGGCATGCATTCATTGGTGATGTATTTTTTTAAACATATTAATATCACCAATGAGTGCATGCCACCTACGCGGTGGACATATTAACATGTGTCCACCGTGGATAGGGGAGCATTTCTAGCTAGTGTATACAAATTAATTTTTCTCTATAAATAACTCTAATTTCATAAACTACTTAACTTTTAATTTTTAGTATCTTTTATATCACGTGAAACACAAATTTGATGGTAAATAGTTTATTTTGAATCTTAATGATTTGTTGTCAATATTTATTTATTTAATTCAAAATTTTACAACATATATAATAATTTAATCAATAAAAAATTTAAACATCTTGATATATGATATATTTCAATGACTACCAAATGTTATAATTTCAATTACTACTTGAACTTGACCATATAATTTTATTTACTTTTTTTTTCTTAATAAAATAGTATATAATAAAAATTTTACTTTTGAACACCTTGAATAGTTTTTTTTTTCACGTATATAAATATTTCAATACAAAATTTCTAATTCTTAATTTTACCGACTATCAAATATAATTTATTAATATATAATTTAGTTTTTAAAGAGTATTAACAATACAAAAAATATATTCAAGAGAGTTTTAATTTTTTTCGCGGTTAGGTTGAATACATGAACAAACGAACGAAATTTTGTGTTCTATTAGTAAACGAACGAACACGAACATGTTCGAAAATTTGTCGAACTCGAGCTCGAAAACTTTAAGCTCGATTCAGTTCAGTTCCATAACAGCCCTACACATGGCAATTTAGTGTATTAGCACATACAAAATATTCAAGGTGAAAGAAAGAATAGAAGCAAAAGAAACTTTCCGGCTGTTTGCTAGTGCATACAAATATTCAAGGTCAAAGGAAAATATATAACTAACGAAATGTATACGAAATGACAGCGGATAACAACAACCCCCTTCCCTCCCACCAAACACACACTCTTCTATTATATAAATCCCCCACTCTTCTTCTTCAACCTCTTAGGAGCACTAGCCAAAAATTCAAATTAATATATCCATATTGTTATTATTATTATGAATACAATTAGTGGGGTTGTGGGCGGAGCCGCTCTAGGAGCCGCTTTGGAGCTGTTGTTGATATCAGTTGTCATTCCCGTGTTACGGAAGTTGGCCTGTTTCAGCTCGGACGTCAACCGTTTGAGATCAACTCTCCGCCTCATCCAACCCATCATCATCGTCGAACATGATGAGCTCGTCACTCGAGCAGAGAATATGGTGCACAGGTGTTCCCAGTTGAGATGGTGGAGATTTTTTATGAGACTATACTACTCTGTGAAGCTGATCCAGCTGGAAGCTGAGCTGCTCGTCTTCTTGCAGGTGAATGTTGTGGCCCTTAGTGTTAGTAGGGTGAGTCAGTTGGAGGAGAAAGTGGACGAGGCTATTGGGATACTATTCAAGTTGTATGCAGTCGCCAATGATGGGGATATTGTTCGTGATTGCGTCTTATCCGTGTCTCCCGATTCTACTTAAAGAGCCTTTGATTTAATGTTCTCATGATTCTCGTCATGGTTAAATTATTTTATTATTATTATTTGTTTCATTATGCATGCGTCTTTCGTCTCAAGTGAAGCGAGTTCGATTTAGTTTTATTTATTCAAGTAAATCATTGTACTAGTAGAAGTAACAATTTTTGGTTTGGTTTTGCCGCTACTATGTATTGTTTGTTTGGGGTTGATCAGCCTGTATTGGTTTGGCTAGGCATCACGATTAGGTGGTTGTCCTCCCAGTTCTTTAGGCTCCGGTTTTGCCCGTTTGTACTCTTGTTCTTGATTATTTGAGATATATTTTCTGTCGTTTGAAGAAAAAAAAAAAAAAAAAAAAATTGCCCAGTAACTTTGTTGACTTGTGTTGACGCGTGTGTGTAAATTAATTAATTGCCAATGTACACATAGAAAGATGAAAAAAGATGAAAAAAATGAGATCCAAACAGAGAAAATTAGTTGGAACGAATATCTCAAATAAATGAAGAAGAAGAAGAAGAACGATTGAGGAGCAGGAGACGGTGTTTGTGCCCTCGAACACAAGGAATCAATAATTTTTTATTTTTTCTTAAAGAGGAAAACTCAGAGGGAGTAGGAGTTGAGGCAGAATCTCCAACTTGTATAAAAAGGATCATGTTCCAGCTAGGTTTGGTAACGGTTCGGTAACCGAGCCGATAAGCCATTACCGATACCGAACTGATAATTTTGGTACCAATAAAAAAAAAGTTGAAACCGAACTGACTTGTAGTCGGTAACCGAAAACTCAGTTCGGTTTTGTACCGAAAAAACCGAACAAAAATAAAATAATGTATCATGGCAGAAGGCAGCATACATTCCATGCACGTGAGGGCCGGCTGACTGGTTATGCTTATTTTATTTTAATTCACATATTGAAAAAAAAAAATGATTAACTGAGAGCCTAATTTAATTGCGTAGGTAATAACTAATAGTCTAATAAGCATTAAACACTAAACTAAACAGTTAACAACTAAGGCTACTAAGTCTAAGTTTTTTTTTTTTTTTTTTTTTTT